ATGTAATATCTTAACGTTTGCGTCCTCAAGCATTTCATGCATCATTTATCACGCAAGCCACTCGATAATTCACTAAAGAAATGAATACACGACAGTTATTAAGAATTGTACTTTTACTATTATCATTATAATCATTACTTTTTCATTCGCGTGAGTCGATCTTAGTTTCCAGAGAGAGCAGAAGTGATTTATCATGACAAATGGAAGGCGGTATTAACTCTTTATTGATTATATAACGGGATATATAAAGAGGAGCGTTGCATAGTCATGTTCTGATTTCATTTTTCTTTTTAATTTTAATTAATTGTGCCTGTTTAAGAATGACAGGTTTATTATTAGTCAATGAGCAATTGGAGCAAAGTGCAAAAGTCTTATTTAATTGTGGCCCGTGATGTAATCTGATTACCCTTCTTAAATAATTAATCAGTTAGATGTTCGTTCCAGTTCATGATTACAACAAAATTATGCAGCTATCAGAAGTTTTGTAATTCATTGTAAAGTACAAATTTTTTACCAGCGCTTTTTAGTGGATGCTTAAATGCTGATACTGTCTGACAACTGCACTGCCTTCCAGTTACTTTCTTCTCAGGTACTGCCTTTTATGTCGCTTCTGCATCTTGCTGAAATTGAAAGAGATCGGTTGTTTGCAGACTGAGCACGTCCTAGCACATTAATCCAATCCTTTAAATCTTCTGGATTATCTGCTCAAAGTCCCTGTTGGCGAAGTATGTACACAAAACACGTGGCCTGACATGTGGAACTTATCGCGCTTTCCAAAGCATTTAGGAACTAATAGAATTGCTAATCCCTCCCTCCCTCCTCTCGATGTGTCCATCGCTGGTACCTTCCCCCACCTTTCCTTATCCACAACATTTTGTTAGGTTTCTTGGAGTGTAAGCTGTTACTCTGTAACTTTCTAGGACCAGTTGTTTGAAAGAGGAGGTAGTTGTTAGCGCTGATCCAGAGTTCCCTTGTAAACAGGTATAATAGTCTTTATGCTTCTTGCGCGCTTCATATTTCATTTATTTGTTTAAGCAGGTTGATTAATTGGCAGCTGTAATAGCTGATGTAGACCTGCTGTCCTAACCCACCCATCCCACCCCAGGGGAGGACATCCATCACACAGTAATCTCGTGTGTGGGAAATTAACGTCTCCTGCCCCAACCCTGCAGGAGACGGGACCTCCATTTATTCGTCCCTATCCGAGAAGACTAGAATATCTAACCATTTCTTGATGTTATAGAAAGGTAGCAAATTCTTCTCAATTATTTTAAGACCTTGAGTGTTGGTCCGGCCGGGGCTCGAACCCTCGACCTCCCGCACTACAGTCCAGCGCTCTATCCATTGAGCTAACCGGGAGGCGGTTAGCTCAATG